TCATATTTGTGTAACAAAACTTTACACTAGCGAATGTTTTTTAATGTGAGTTTTTTTAGTAGTTTCAATAATTTATGATCATTTAAAAAAAACAATGACATATTTCAAAATTAAAATATTAACTTTTCAATATATGTTCAAGGCAAATATCAAAATATAAGTATGTATTTTCATACGATGTATAGTTTAATTAAAATGATATTAAATATATATAAACTAAAATTATTTCTTCATATGGTCTTATAATCATTATATTTTAGTATAGAGAAAAAAATTAAAATCTTAATCTTAAAAGTTTAGGTGGGACTTTTAACAGTTTTAGTAATTCATATTCATTTTGAAAAATTCGAAATACAACATACACAAAAAAAATCTAGATTTTTCTTATATGATTAATGTAATTGTGTAATTTATTTTAAATAATAAAGAAATAAACAAAATGAAAAAGTATACAGATTGTTATCAAATCTTTATTGTTTAAAATCATTAATTTTCATATATATATTTTGATCACATTAGGTAATTCCGTAGGTTTTATTTAAGGAAAGCATGTGAAACAATAAATATTTGATATATGCGACCAACTATAGCCTACGGAATATTATATTGGTAGAGAATATTATTTTTAAACTATATATTATATCACATGCTCTAGAATCCTTGAGATTTGAAAATAGAAGCCAAAGAGCTATGCCACGTAAGATTGAGGTTATTTTTAATTCTTATAAACTTAAGGTTACAACTTTTTAAATGATTCTCAAATAATATATAGGGGATAAGACTTGGCAACACAGGTTATATGATTATCTCTGTACCGATTTTCCCCTTTTAGTGTAGGATCATTTAGGTAGACTTGGACCATATTACGAAAAACATATTATTAGGAAAAGATTGCTATCTAAACTAGACCATGTTGATTTTTGTATAAAACTAACATGTTTCTTTAGAGGTTTTTATCATGCAACAAAAGTAATATAGTAAAATTCAAAATAAAGTAATGGATTTCCTTCTTTCGTTTTTTTTTTCCATTTAAACTCTTTAGTGATTTTTTAGATTGACCGTGATTTGTGAAGCCTTTTTGGACCAAATCTAAAAAGTAAAATCTGTAAAAGTTGTGGAGGAGGATCCTTCATAAAGCTTAAACATCTTGTAGCCAATCGTGAGAAGATATAGGCAACATAAAATAATTTAGTTTCTTAGATTAATAACCATGCAACTTCGTGGATATCGATTTGATAGGTATCCCAAAAAGAAATCCAAAATACGATGGCCTTCACGTTTGAGTTGTTAATAAATACGATGGCCTTCACACCTAACAGCTTCGATCCAAAATACATGGATTAATGCTTACAGAAACGAGTCAATTAAAAGTTGAGGAGAAAGAAAAGTAAAATATTGAGATGTTTTCCACATGTTAATTATTAATTTATTTTTTTGTTGCCTGTGTGGTGTAAGAACATCACTGAAAAAGTGAAAAGAAAAGAAGAAAGAAAACATCAATATGTTTCACATTTTCTCACTTTAACAAAAGCTGGCTCAGTTTCAGAATAAATTATCATTGCAAACAGATCTTACTTTCCAAAAGGTTGTCTTATTTTCTCTAGATGTTGATGTCTTATTATGTTAAAATATTATCACTGCAGTTTTCATTGGAATAAATCTAACTTGTCAAGCTCTCTTTTACGGTGACAGACAGAGCAAGAAGACAACAACCGAGAATCAATTTCTATCTTAACAATTATAGTGAAAGAATATAACTAATTGATATACTATACAGATCATATCAAGGAACGTTTAGGCGTTGGTGATACAGCAGCTACGTACAAGAGAAAATGTTCCACCAGGATTTGGAAAACAAAGAGCACTTGACGCTGCTGAAAAGTTCGTGAAGGCTGCCTCGCTTGTGCAACAAATGTTACTGCATGTGCTGTGTACAATGCTGCACTAAGCTCAATGATCAATGTGACCTTGTCTTCACCGCGATTACTTGCATCGCTTGCTTTGAATGTTGCACAAGTATTTGTTTGTGCCTGTGGTGGAGAAGACTAGTTCTAAAAATGATTTTAAAAAAGCTTCAAAGTAAGTTTGTATAGTTACGTTACACGCAACATTTAATTTATTTACGGCCTGGTCATATATAAAATCCTTATAACTTCAGGAGAGAAAGTGTAAAGAACAGACAAATCCATGTGTTTTCCTTCAACTACTTGCTGGATGTTGATCTCTTAAGCCATTTTTATACAATAAATTATGTGATTTTGGTGAATCAACATTCAACAAAGTCCTCAAAGATGGGATCAAGTGTTATATAAATGGTGATTTCGAGGGTTTATGGAAACTTGAACCCAAATTTTTATTTGCTGGCGTATTGCTGGCTTCAGGTATTTGTGTTTACTGTGTCTTTAAAAACACGGGACCACTATGATCATCTGTATCTCCTGATACTATTCAAGGAGATAAAAGATCATCGACAAAAAAAGAAAATTTTCTTGGTGCACACACATACATGTTCTTATTTATATATATGTCTTTTGAAACATGAAGGTTTGTTTTCATATTTGTCTGAACTAACTTAACTTTTGTGGTGTGTTGATCTCTATTTGATCATGTAAATTTTTGATTTTGGTGGGTACAGATTTTTAGTTGGGTTCAGAAAAAACTTAATGGAAAGAAACATGAGTTAACTTCAGGTTCTTATGAGTAAATATTCTTATACTAAGAAGCAACTTTGGATAGATTATTGACCTGTTTGCTGATGTATATATAGCTCAAGAATTATCAGGACCTGCTTTGAGTAAAAGTTGGTCTCAAGACGAAGAAACCTTTCTAGCCATTGGTACACTTGGAAACAGCCTCTGCTCCAAGGAAGAAGAAGATGATGAAGTAGATTTTAGCAAAGATCTCACTGCGGTCAACACAGATGTTACTATCAGGAAGAAGAAATCACTCTCTTTTCTTCTCAAGAAGATGTTTGTTTGCACAAGTGGCTTCAAGACTCCACCTCCTCTTCTTGATTTGTCTAGAGGAGATTCATTTCCCAATACACCTATGGAAAAGGTACTATACATTGATCAAATTATCCAGTCACTACTTATTATTGCAAGTGAACTACAAAAGTTTTATGTTGCTGTGTTTGTGTGCAGATGTTAAGGACAATACTCAACAAGAAAATACATCCACAACGTTCAAATGCTATAGCAAAGAAGTATTTGGAGAATCATAAAATTATAGAAGAAGCTCGTTCAAGTGTTGACGCCGACAAATGGGTCAAGACTGATTCTGAATGTAAGATTTTCTAAATATTTTTGATGTATTTAAGTATGTAAGCAAGTGTGTATGACTGGCTTTATTGTAGTATTTAGTTAGATCAAAAACATATAATAAACATCATAAAGGACAAATAAAATGCAGAAAATGATGAGTATAAGAGCCTTTCTAGATAGATAGATAGATAGATAGATAGATAGATAGATAGAAAAATGTTAAACAAGAATAATGGTAATAGGGAAGCTTAATTCAATTTTCGTTGATGATTACAGATATTGTCTTGGAGATGTAGACATCAACCAACAAGCTAAATGGACCTGACTGATTCTCATGGTACAAAACCAAAATGTTTACTTATTAATATGTGATTCTTTTTTCTTTTTATAAAATATGAAAATTAGGAAAACATGATTACTGATTTAAGAAAAACAACCAAAACATTTATGTTTCAGGTATCAAATGAGTGGTGTAAGCTCAACTGTTCAAAATATGATGATGGTTATGAAATATCTTTTGGTAATGACAGTTTACAGAAGTGTATATTTCTTTCGTTTTTTCTTGTTCCTCATCTTCCATTATATTTTCTTTCAGATTTGAATTTGTTGAAGAAATTTGTTTGCTCTTGTGTACTGTTGTTGTAACTACAAATTTGTTGTAACTTTATCAATATGTAAAAGAAGAGAATAGATTTACGGAGTTTTAAATAAAAGTGGTTCCTTTTTTTTTCTTCACACTTACAGTGAGGGGTTCACCCAAATAGAAGTGCCAAGTTTCAGCCATTGGTATGCGATGAAGACGTGAAACGTTACCAGACGGAAGCAAAAAGTAGATACTTGTGCTCACTGCTCTGTCCACCTTGACTGCACAGATTCAAACAAAACATAGAAAGAAACAAACTTTTTTTTGGTAAAAATAAAGAATCAAACTTTCGAGATGATCTGTAATAACTCCCAACAAGAAACTTGAAATGTTGGTGAAATGAACAGTTTTGTAGGTTGTTGAAATAGTGGGATCCAGACACAAATCAAGTACATTTTTTTCTATCAAAAATCTAAATTTGGATCTAATTACTACAATATACCCAGTAAGATTACAAAACAAGAGTGAGTGAGAAAGAGAGAGAGAGTTACAGGTGGGAGGGAGATGAGAGGTGGAGAGGATAACAGAAGAGTCTCTGAACGTTTCATAGAAAAAGCCACCTTCTGGGTGAGACCTCAGATTCAGCTTCTTCACGATTTCTGAAGACTTCACCATCTTAGAAGATACTTACTCACCGATCTCTCACTCTCAAGCTTTCTCTAAACTCCAAAACCAAATCTAGTTTCAACTTCGCTTGAGTTCAGTTTTCTTCCGGATATAGCTGCAACCCAAAATTGACTTTTCCAAAACTTTCCGAGGTCAAAGTAGTAAATTAAAAAACTTTGTCGACAGGTACCCTCTGTTTTTGTTAATTACAGTGACACCCGTATGTTTTTGTTGGGACAATAAACATCCATCCCAAGTAAGTTGAACCCAAGAGAACACAACTTTCTTTCCTATTCACTCACAGAAAAACGTAGCATAACACAATATTCATCGGCATTCACTCAATGGCTTTATTCGATGAATAAAATTAGTTTATACACTTCAAGTCATATATACTGATGTCATTTATCATAGCATATTTCAATTCGAAAATATAGTATCTAAAAGGATGAAGCAGATTCATTGTGTAAAGGTGTGTGTGATTTTCTCAAAACGCAGAGCTACCACCACCACTTCTTGTGGACACGGTCTGCATAACACCATTCATCAGTCCTTGAAACGATTTCCAAACTCCAGCTCCGATGTCTTGTGCAAAATACTTGGCCTGCCATGCCCACATGAGAAGTTCTCATTCCAATGTGTACTACTAGTATCAAGAGTACTCAGAAAAAAGGTTTAGGTTTAATATCTATACCTCTTGTTTGCTTTTCTTCAGATCAAAAGCATCTTTGACTCTATCATCCAAAAACCAAAACCTATAGGCTACTGTTCTATAAATATTAGAGATTGAACAATAGCCTATAGGTTGTGAAACAAAAGGAATCTCTAATTGAAAAAAATGTTTTTTATTATTTTCACTTAGATTAGGGATTCTTTTGTTTTTTATCATTCTCGCTCAGATTGAAGAAATGTTTGTGTTTTTCGATTTGAGTAATTAGGGATTTGGTTTTGGAGAAGAGAGAATTTTGAGGGTTTTTTATTTCCAAAACGATAGAGTTTAGGTTTAAAGGAAACAGTAAATGGAACTTAATCCCGTTTAATTAGTCAGTTAATCGATTTAACAACGTTTTAAATATGGTTTAATCAAATTAATTTGAGGTTTTAAGTGGCTAGTCAAGATAAGTTGGTACTTTAAATGTTCCAAAAGAAAGTTCATATTTTTTTTCAACCAAATTTGAAAGTTATAGATTTAAATGACAAATTTTCCAATTATGTATGGTTTCACTTTCACCAATCATGGTATATATATACTAGTGGTTTGTCCGCGCTACGCGCGGAATGTAAATAAATTATGTAGCTAAAAGATTTATTTGATTTTGTTATTGTTGATATTGTAAGATTTCTAGTGCTGAAATGATGGTGAAGTTTGATGTTTACTTTAGAAGTAGTTAACCGATGGTTTTGACTTATGCAAGTATTGATCAATTGTTAATAGGAAGTGGCCAGTAGGTTGATTTGAGATGAAATTTTGGAATCACTAAAAACATATTTTCGTTTGTACGGAAAATTATATTATTTGTATTTTTGCATGGTTTGATTTAATAAAAAAGGGGATAGAAAATACTAAATTGCTCCTCCTTATGTTTTATCTATTTTCTATTGTAGCAGTTTAGAAACATGATGAGACAAGATACACTTGACTACACCATATATTTATTAAATGTCAAGAGAAACGGTCAAGGCTAAAAAAAATCTCAAGAATTACTATAAAAGCAGTGGTCTACAAAGATAATGACGACTATACGGTGACAGAGGTTAGAATGGAAGAGGCAGCTGTGATATGAGTTCTTGGAGACAAAATATTAGTAGCAGAAATAAAAACAGAACGTAAAATCAAATGGTAATGATCCTATATTACTACTGTATATATGGTAGCAACCAAACAAACATGGCTATTATAAATTATCTAAAATAATTATCGCCGTAAAAGAGAAATTTGTTTTATTTTTAGCTTATTCTGAATAAAGTGAACTTTTGAAGACAACGTAAATGTTGTCCTATAAAGAGAAGTTTTGCTTTATGTTTTATTGAACTCTGATGCTGGACTAAAAGGATCTCTTTGTAAATACTTTGTATTGTTATTAACCCTACATGTACTGATGTATAAATACTTTTAGTCTATAAAATTTACTTAACACTCTTAACCACAAATAAATTCTCACAAAATTTGGAAGCCACAAAGGTGGTGGTACATACTGTTTATTGATAACCATTCATAAATATTTTTCTACGGTTAAATTTGTTATGACTTTAAAGTATATTTTGCAAACCACTAAAGGCAATTTTGTAATATGATGTCTATAATCTATATTTCTAATCTTTTAAAATTTAATATCAATATTAAAATAAAAACAATATTCAAGTTAATTTATGAATTTATATAACAACACTATCATAATAGAAAATTAGTCAGTTTTAAAAAGACTATTAATCAAATTCATAAAATAAATGATCAAAATTCTTGCATAATCTAACCAAACCCAAAGAGAAACCTAAAAATATTAAAGTAAACTGAATAATTATGAAAAAAAACAACTTAAATATATAAACAGTTACATTTTTTTGAATTTATTTGGTAGTAGTAGTGGTGAAACAAATGAGGTAGTTATATACAGCACAAAACTCTTATTGCCTCTATAATACTATTCTACCGATATTTTTAGATCTTAAGGAAACATAAAGATGAAGCAACTGAAAGCTAATATGGCCATGAAGCAATAAGCAATCGCTAACCTGATTATCTGCAGCACAAGTTGATCAAATCTCTAAAACTAAGGAAAGAGATTGGAGGAACCCTTTTCAAAAAAATATTAATGAAAGAAACATATTAAGCAAGCTCTTGTTTAAAAATCTGAAGTGATGAGTATATTCAGCAAGCTCTTGCTTACGACATTTTACCAATCCCAACTTCCCCATAAGGTAATCTGATCATAACTCATAAGTCCTATCAAGATCCATATAAACTCTAATGAGTAAAGGGGATTCAGATGGCAACTCATGAAGAAATACAAAGATAAGGTATACCTTCACGATTGAGTTGGTTACAACTTCGATATCTTAAACTTTGCCGCTTCATTAACAATTTGTGTATCACAAACTCAATCAGAAACCCATCAGTTAGAAGCAGAATCTTATTTATAAGATGGGAACACTAACTAATCAAAATCATTAATTATATCTATAATCTGCTAACTGGATTTCTACTATTGCTCAGTTCCTTCCAAGATCAAACACCCATAGATATCAAATTCAGTTTACAATAGGAACATAACTATTACGCAGACAATATTATAACACACCATCTCTCTTAGACCTATACGAAATCCAAAACTGGCCTAAATCAAGTCAGATACAAAACCCAGTCAAGATGCTTATATGAATGGCTCATCAAGAACAATAAGAGCTAACTCAAAAAAGAAGCATGCCACTTCACAAAGAGTAGTGTGGAAGACTCAGCTTTTTCAGGAATCTTATTCCACCTGCAAAAAAAAATCAAAAATTCACATGACATATCAATTAAAAGGGAAAGCTTTTTGTTGTTGCGAAGCTGATTCAGAGAATATGCATTTGTGCAACAGCTGATAACTAAATAAAATAAAAGAGAGGTTCAGGTCATTTCAACAACAACAAACAAAAGAACCAGGAGGTTATGGAAAAAGGATTTTAATGTTTTACCGGGAGAGACATTATCAGGGCCTTTGGTCTATAAGAGTTTCGTGTTACTCTTTATCAAACATTTGTGAACTTTGAATCTACTGCAGAAAGAGAATTATCTTATTTTGAAATTACGTAAGCCAGTAATAAGAAAAAAACGAAGTCAGTAAGCTCATAAAGCACCCCTAAGGTGCTGGAAGGTATTGAGTCGTTGGACGCTAATAGAGGCCCGAGAATCAGAGTTGCTTGCGATCAACGAAAAGCATCAGAACATTAAATCAGGGCAAAGAGAGTGTATGAAGTCGCCATCGTCGGAATCAGGTGCTGGAACAAAAGATTTTTCTCAATATCATTTGAGTTGCACTATCTATGGCTGAAAGGTGAGATATTTATACTTCAAGCTTCAAGCGTTTCATGTGGGAAGCGAAGAGGCGGATTGAATCCTGGGTGGGGCTAATCACGCTAAAACCCGGAGTAGTTAAGCACATATTAATGAGAGGCGAAGATGTTACGGAGATTGAAAAGACGCGTTAGGGTCTGCAAGTTTCGTAGAGAGGAAGAAGAAATCTAATATACTTGTGGGCTTGGTTTAATTTTTCCACAGGCCCAATCAGATGATGTATAACCCAAATTAAATGTCCCGTTTAGAGATTAAATGATTGAAACGCGAATTGTTTTGAGGATGGCTTACGTGGATTTTTTTGCCCCACCTTCTAATGCTGATGTGGAGGCTTAAGAAGGGAGAAATCTCTACTTTATTGTATAAGATAATAATCCATGATAACGTCATAAAAATTATCCTTCACATCTATCCGTACACGTGTCAAGTAACACTGGCTTCACAAATTTTTTCAGGATAACAAACCCCTTAACATGCGAGTCCATATACACACTCACACCAACAACAAGGAGAGTCACAAGAACATTTACAAACATGGCTTTAGCCATTGCGTCTTCTCTCACTTCCACACTTGCTTTATCCACCAGCAGAGCACAAAATGCACGAGGAACATTCTCATCGCGTGTCGATGGAAGAACGAGCGAGCGTTTGGTGGTGGTTCGTGCCGGCAAAGAAGTTTCTAGTGTCTGTGAACCACTTCCTCCCGACCGTCCTATGTGGTTCCCCGGTACTTCTCCTCCTGAGTGGCTCGATGGCAGTCTTCCTGGTGATTTCGGTTTCGATCCTCTTGGTCTAGGTACGAAAACATGAGAAACCACATTCCGGTTTACAAAACTAACCGAAATTTAACTAAACCGGTTTGGTTTTTATAGGGTCTGACCCGGAAACACTCAGATGGTTTGCACAAGCCGAGCTCATACATAGCCGGTGGGCCATGCTAGCAGTAACCGGTATCTTAATACCGGAATGTCTAGAACGGTTAGGATTCATCGAGAATTACTCTTGGTACGACGCAGGCTCCCGCGAGTATTTCGCGGATTCCACAACCTTATTCGT